TGGCTCACAAAGGAAGTTTACCGACGTTTGACTGCCTCGATTGCACTGGTCAAGCTTGATTTCGCAAAATTTATTTTTTCAGTTAGCTATGAAACGCGAGATTAGGGTATACTATGGGGTGGGGGTGGTAGTACTTGCCCCGTCATTTTTGACGGGCTATACGCTAATATGTGTATAAAGAAGACGTTTATTTGACTTAACTGTTACTAAACTTTATAAAATATTTATGAGTTTATGTGTAAATACATCTATAAAGAAGACGTGGTGCATACATCATATAAGAACGTACGCATGCTGGAAATACTTTAGTATTTGAAAGCAAATTCTAGAGGCAACAGCCTTTATTTTACAATTATTCCATTTGCTTGCAAATGTACACAAATGCAAGTACATTAAAACGCAGCTTACACATTAAATTTTCCTAGTATGCACCTGGTATTTGGTATGATTAATGATGTTTTTACATTATTGAGCTGACTATATACCAGACCTTAAAAAGAAGTTTACCCTAGAAAAACTTTAAAAAACCGGTGTTTACCCATTAAATTAGTTTCTGCATGAAGCAGGGTTGCCTTTGTTTTGTTATTTATATTTTTTAAATGTCGAACGTCAATCTTAATTCACTTTCAACGTATATGATATATAACTAAACGAATATTGAATCGAGTCGTGCCAAATATGGTAATCGTATGAGTAAGTCTTCCTTCTCAGCATTGTCCTATAAACCTCAAATTGCCTGTGAACTGAAGAGACTAGCCCTAAGATTTTGTGTCAGCGTTATCAACTGTCTCGTGATGGGACAGCACCACAGCGAATGCACACACACACACATACAAACAGCAATATAGCAGAAAGGTGGGCCGAGGAGGCGCGGGAGCATGCACGTGAACGGGCTGTTGTGCCACAGCATTATGACGTAGCTTTTCCTCTAGTTAGAACAGCTAAGGAAGAGAACATAAGTTTAAAGAAGACGAAAACCGCGGCAGGGTACAGGCTGGAAATGAATCCGTAGAATGCTGTTTGACAGTGTGGGGGCGCAAGTTGAGCTCGTGCAGGCCGCCTAAAGCAGGCACCCAGCCAGAAGTTATAAAGAGAAAGTGAACCCAGAATAAACGCAGAATTTAGAGCCGTTTGGAAACTTGCGAACAGGAAACTAGGTTGCCCGTCTCTCCTTCTTGCTACCACCGTGACGGCTTCGGGAGTGAGTGTTGACTGACTCGGGCCTTTCAAACTGCTGTACCTGGAAGGATAGGGCGTGGCCGGCTTGCTTTGTGAAGTGATACGTAGTTTTAAAATTTTTGCCAATGTCGGAATGAAGTCAACATATAAGTGAGAGGAGAAAAGAAAAAAAAGACTATCGTTTAAACATTTATTTGGGATTCTTTTTTTTTTATTTATTTATTCAAGTTATGGATACGTTAATATTTTAAGAACTAAGATGTCAACGTCACCCGAAGCCGTGAGCCTAGCACCGGCCAGCGAGGGCGTGGGCCAGGTGAACACAACTGAAGAGGCCCCTGTGACCACAACAGTCAGCACTATTGCGGTCCAGTCGGGCAACACACGAATTGTAATTGCGTTGTTACAAGTAAGTAAAAGTCCTATAAAAGTGTAGTGTCAAAATCTAGCTAAACACCATACGTAAATTGTCTAAACGTACACGAGTTTATTTCGTTAAGGAATCATAACAATTAAAGCACACTTTAAATAATGGATTCTGTACTTGCTCCCCTCCCCAGTTGCTCAGCGGTAAGTCTAAAGGCTTATAACGCTTAAAACCGGGTTTCGATACCCGATAGTCCAATGTATATTTTTGAACTTAACAACAAACATTCTATATGTGTTTTCTTAACTTTGAACATGGATTACACCAGACTGTTAGTAGTTACGAATACATACTAAATGCTTGACTCTGTTTACAGTATATAAAATATAGTATTTTTAATATGTTTCAAAGTGCTTCATAATTCAAAATATACAGCAAAAAGTTAAAGATTCCGCTTTAATTAAAGAGGAGAAAGAGAACTCCGATAGGCTGCGCTTTTCACGTTTCATAATTTAATATATGTATAAAGAGTAAGCAAGACCAAATTACCGGATGGGGGCGCTCTGACTTGCATTACAATCTGTTTATTTTAGAGTCTACTGTCTTAGATAAATATCGTGTTTTCTTTAAGGGGCCCGGAAGTATCCTGGAGATAATTAAAACGTTTAGTTAACGTGATATTTTATTTTCAATCTTTTTCAAAGTTCAAGCTTTATTCTTCTTTTATAATATATAAGAAGTTTAATAGTTTTAGAGTTCATTCGGTGTATTGTTTCTTCCATTTTCAGTAATCATGAAGCCTTCCCGCCATTTTAGTATAAATCTTCGTAGTTGTAGTTCCAACTAAGATTTGTTCTTCGGTTGTATATGCAAATAACTAACTTGGTTAATTAATAATCCGTTTTGTTATGAGCTATTGTATATATATATCTTATTTTCTGAAGCTGTTTTTTTTCCTCCAAACAATAGGTCAACATGTTCTGTAAATTATTTATTCTTTTTGTCCAATCTATAACTCACTTTTTCGAAATTGTTATTAAACAATTTATTTTTTCGTTGGTCTGTCTATATATATAATTTATCTTCTTAGCTTATTATATGTATATATATATACATAATCTTTTGTCATAACTTCTGCCAGTTTATACATTTATATATTTCTTCCTCGTGGCTAACTATTATATAAAACCTACTTCTTAGAGGCTTCTGTGTAATGAAGAGTTTTATTGTGGTGCATTGTTTTATGTTTTCATCCCACTCGATGACTTAGCCTTTAAAATATTATGTAAAGTATTTGTTTGTTAGTTGGGCTTATGCGCGAGCTGTCCCTAATTTAGAAGAGATAGGCTAAATGAAGGCAGTTAGTCAACACCGCCAACCTTTGTGAGACCAAATTGTGGGATTTGACCGTCACCCTTATAACGCACCCCCTATCTCAAACAGCTGAGTGGGATTTTTTTCTCTTTCTGACAGCAACAGAACGCGAACCATGGAGCCTCGGCTCCACAATCCGGTACGCTAACCACTGGCCGGGCTGCCCTCGGCCCGTTTGAAATATTAAAAGGTTATAGCTCAGAAATGTTGTTTAGTATTTAAACTTTATAATCATTAGTTTGTGATATTTTACCAATTTAAATACAAAGTTGTTGATGAAACTTATATACGTCTGTAGGTAAGGCGATGAAAGATTTTTTTGTACAGAATTACATTACCTTCTGACCATCTGGTAATAAACAGTGCTAAAACAGAAAGGTGGGGAACGAGAAAAATGTGTGGGGAAACTTGTAGATCGACGACATTTGTGCAGCAGTAATCACGATAGCTTGTATCGGTCACTTCGACGACATCTGTGCAGCAGTAATCACGATAGCTTGTATCGGTCACTTCGACGACATCTGTGCAGCAGTAATCACGATAGCTTGTATCGGTCACTTCGACGACATCTGTGCAGCAGTAATCACGGTAGCTTGTATCGGTCACTTCGACGACATCTGTACAGCAGTAATCACGATAGCTTGTATCGGTCACTTCGACGACATCTGTACAGCAGTAATCACGATAGCTTGTATCGGTCACTTCGACGACATCTGTGAAGCAGTAATCACGATAGCTTGTATCGGCCACTTCATATCCACGACAGAAATAACTCTAAAACTAACTGTTGAGTTAGTTTTTGATATTTCTTTTTAGAGAGGGGCGGAGTGAGGTGGGTGCAAAATGCTATATTTCTCGACTAGACTAGCAGGAATAACTGCCCTATATAACATGTATTGATACATTTATGTTTGGTTTTCAAACCAACTCATAAATACAGGGACGAAGCTGGTGCATGGTCCATTTTTTAACGTCTTGTTTTTTATAGTAACTCCTGTAGTGTTTCTTTTTTTTTTCTCCAAAATCTAAGTTTCATTCTACCAATTAATATTCATAACAATAGTCTAACAGCAGTTTACACATGGTAGCGAATAGTCTAACAACAGTCTACACATGTTAGGAAATAATGGTCTAACAACAGTCTACGCGTGTTAGCGAATGATGGTCTAACAGCAGTCTACACGTGTAAACGAATGATGGTCTAACAGCAGTCTACACGTGTAAACGAATAATGGTCTAACAACAGTCTACACGTGTCAGGAAATAATGGTCTAACAGCAGTCTACGCGTGTAAACGAATAATGGTCTAACAACAGTTTACACGTGTTAGCGAATAATGGTCTAACAACAGTCTACATATGTTAGCACCTTGTCTGATAAGTTTGTTTGTTTAGTGTTTGAGCGCAAAGCTTCACACTGGGCTATCTGTGGTTTTCCAACCACGAGTATCGAAACTTGGTGTTTTGGTATAACCTTCAAGTTTACCTTTGAACATTGGAAGAAGGGGGGGGGGTCTGATAAGTATAAGTTAAATTCGACAATCGTATTTCGAAGCTCTCGGGGTCTGCCATAATTACAAATAGAAGTACAGAGTCCATCAGCCCTATTTCTATGGCTACTTTTTAAAGCTGTCTCATGATGATGCATCAGAAGGTTTCATATCCATAAAGACTGAACGATGCCAGTCGAGTAATTCCTTACAGAATGGAACACGTTTTGAATTGACTATGATTAGTAGCCACGTTGTGTTATATATACTATTTTTACACACCTCCATGATTTGTTTACAGTTTCTTCTCTTTGTTAGGGCACTCGAATCCCAATCTGCGGGTTCGAATCACTTCACTGAACATGATCACCCTCTTAGTCATGAGGGTTTTATAATGTGACAGTCAATCCCATTATTCGTTGATAAAATAGTAGCCCGAGAGTTGGCGGTTAGTGGTGTTGACTAGTTACTTGGCAGTTTTCTTCATCTGTAGCTTTTTCATACTAAGAATCCATCTTACAATCTCCACGTTTTATTACGTGGATTAGTGTTTGAAATGACCTTTTACCAATTGGTTAAAAGAGTATTTTTAATAGCGAACAGAATCCACGGTTTATCCGAGACAGCGATAAATTTCTATCTAGTTCCAGCTAGATGAAAATGGAGAGTCTATTTATGCTCAGAGATGTTATTTACAACCAACTTATGCATTTATTACTATATCCAGATTTTTATTGATGATTTAGTTGCAGTTTAATCATTTTCATGACATCCTTTTGTGAAGACATTTGCGCTAAGAAT